AGTGCCCAAGATGTTCGTGGAAAGATTTCTATGAGAACTCTTTAAAAATAACAAAAACACCTAGACGTTACGCTCTTAGAAGTAGACCTTACTAAATTTTGTAAAACATTTTGAAGAAGTAAATGTGTTTAAAAACTGAAATATTGTGTAATTTTTTGCCGGCAAAGCCCGCTCTTTCCGCCCGCGCGAAAAGATCTGTTGTACAAATATGTTGTACTTTAATATATACATGTACCCGCAAAGCCACGCGCCTGATTTTAAGGTATACACCTGCGTTAAAAATAATCCCTATCTATCCATCGGGATACACTTAGTTATGCAAATTCGTATTACCTTAATCCCCTTAATTACCTACACACCTCCTAATGACTTAGCAACGCATAACAACGCAACATTTGCAAAGTTTAAAACATGTTTATTGATACAAATTATAACAGACGATAGTGTCAAAAAATATTACAACTGTTCCAATTCTAACTTCTACTCTTGATAAGCTTTCTTATGATCATCTTAACAGTATATATGTATGTAGGAGGATTGCTAAATAATCTTGAACATGTAAATATTGACCATAACAACGACGTTGACAACTCGGATTAGGAACTGTTTAGTTTAAAATATGTCTTGATTTTTGTAAGGAAAAGATTCCTCGCTATGGAACATACGAAAAATCCGTCAATATACATGTGGAAATTTATCTCTTCCGAGCAAAGATACGGCTATATATTAATTTCGATAACAATTTTGCCATGCGAGGGACACAAACTATTCAACACACAAAGTCTTTCAACCCCTTGTGCGACTGCACTGGCAAAAATTCCTTCCAATAAATTGTAAGATGTAGTTTTACCGTGTAGACACGCCATGACTGATGTGGAACAAATACAGAACTATGCCTGCTACAAAACACTTGTAGATTTTATACAGACACTTGCATAAAAGTTCATAGTGAGCCAACATTAATCCCTCAATTGTATCATAAACGTGGAGGGACGCTAAAAAAATGCTTAGTCAGCAAGTTTTGTTCAATTTCGCCCGAACAGGCCCGCGTGACGTCATTACTTACCTGATCCTCCCCGCGTGACGTCACTACGCACCCTCACTTGTGCGGCCCCCTTAATTACCTGCATATATAATGTGCGGCCCCCTTGCATAGTAATTACCTGCATATATAATGTGCGGCCCCCTTGCATAGTAATTACCTGCATATATAATGATGCGGCCCCCTTGCGGCCCCCTAAAAATAAGGCCCGAACGGCCTCTATATTACTACTTATGTCGAGTTGTAACTATAGTACATAGTAGGGGTGCACCGGATTTCAAATCCGGCCGGATTTAATTAACGAATTTTCCAGCATCCGGCCGGATTTGGAGAAAATCCGGCCGGATTTAAATTTCTGTTTTCACCTTAAAAAATTCACCAAGAATGGGATAAACCATCAATTTGGCAGCTTTAAAGTTTAAAAAACACTTATATTATTATAAAATATTAAGTTATTAACAAAAAGATATTTAAAAAAAGTTTAAACACAATCAAAAATCTAAACTGGCACTAAAGGCCGTGTTACACGGTGCAATTTTTCATGCAACTTGTCTCGCAATGGCGTTGCGAGACAAGTTGCACGAGTCATGGCACCGTTTAACATGCCTTGCAATGGTCAAAATCTTTGCGAGACAAGTTGCATGAAGCATTGCACAGAGTAGAAGTCGGTTCTACTTTTGGCAACGATTGCACTAATTATTTTTAGCATTGCAGCGTGTAACATGGCTTCGTGCAACTTGTCTCGCAATGTTTATAGCTTGGAGAGTTCCTATTGGCTCTCGCCAGTACAAGCTTTATTTTAATTACAATTTGGCGCCAAATAGCACCTCTCCCTAGTCTCTTCGCATGCCTCTGTCCCCTATCGTTGCGAGTTGCATGAAAATCATTGCAGCGTGTAACACCTCTTGCAATGCATTATCAAAATCTTTTTTTAAACATTGCGAGACAAGTTGCATGAAAAATTGCACCGTGTAACAGGGCCTTAACTAAAAATAGTAAAAAACATAAACCGCCATTTTGAATACTGAATTATCCCAATTTATCCCCAATTGTCCCTATTACCGGTTTATCTCAAATCTGGCCAGAAATCCGGCCGGAATTTTTGTCCAAACCGTAAATCCGGTTCCGGCCGGATTTGAAAATTCCAAATCTGGTGCACCCCTAGTACATAGGGTTTGGGTTAGGGTATGCAAAATTTTAAAATTTTCTCAATTTTTCCAAAGGTAAACGGGCCTCAAATTTGATCGTGTCTAACTCAATACCTGCAAAACAAAGCGTGGTTGAAGGGCCACACGTTTCCGCCGGTGCCATGGGCAACCCAATAAATGCGCAAAAATCGAGAAAACGTTTTAACCGAGCTGCACAAGTATCATACGATGGTGATACAAGGAGAAAATCATCAAGCAAATGTAAAATAGAATCGATAAGAAGTTTTTGTTGAGCAATCTACTGTATAGCCGTACTGAAAATTTCAAATGTTTTACACGAGCTGGCTGCCCCCATAGGAAGGCATCTCGCATTATAATAGACGCCCTGCCATTTCATTCCCAGTAAATAGTATTCCCAAGAACGAGCCAGAAACAGCTATCCCTTTTGCTACAGGAAATCAATGACAAAACACTTTCACACTTGGTAGGTATCTACAGTTTTTTACCGGGCGATATTCAGTTTGCACAAAAAGCATATTGGCAGAAACGTGCGAGACTAAAAGTACAGACATTTTCACGTCTTATTCACAACGCCATTTCATTCATTTCCGGGCTGGCCAAATCATTTGGCAATCAACGTATACTGATTGTGCATATCATCGTCCGTCTAAATCACAAATTTTCAGGAAAAGTCGCAGAGCTTCTCTCCTCCGCAGAAGCTTTCTGAAGGAGTACTTCATATGGAAAGGATGGAGGGTCAGTGAGGCAGTGCGAAAAAAAGCGAAAGGCGCTAGAGGGTAACGAGCGGCGAAAAAAAAAGGCGGAAAAGTCTCGGCCAGTTTTGAGTCGATATTTGTCCGAAGTCATCGATATCTTGGTTGTTTACCATTTACATGGAAATTCCGGTGATTCCATACGGAAAGTAAATGGAACAAGCATATTTCGACTGCCCAACCAGAACTTTTCCGGAATGAACGGTTTGTTTGAAAAGGTTGCCCTCTCTTACCGTTTGGGACGTTTCAACCGGTAAATTTTGTTCCATTTACATCTTTTTTATTTTTTCACCAGTTCCAGGCTCTTCTCGATTTAACAATTGGAATTATTAAATACTTCAGTGCCTAATTCCGGTCAGTCACTCTAAATGGAAAGCGCATAATCCGAATGTGATTTTCTATCCGAAATTTTGCTTACCATTAGCACAATTTCAAATCGGATGGGTTTTCCATGTAAATGGTAAACAACCCTTATACCTACAGTTTTTGTAGCGGACGATTATATACAATTTTGGGTCTAACCAGGAGCAGCTGCGAAAGGCCCTCAGGTGGGCATCGCACCTGCGGCCCTGCGATTCCGGTGCAGCGCTCTAACCAACTGAGCTACAGAGTCAGCTGGCGAATGGTCAAGTGTGTATGATAGGGAACTAGAGAAAATGAGGCGGATGTGATTCTTTTATGGTTGGGAGACATCAAGTGTTGTCTTGGTGTCACCATGAACTAACGTCGTAGGATCCCGAGTTTCTTGTATTTGAATCACCAGTAACTGGTTTGATCTAATTTCAAACGTCATGCTGTTCGTTCTAAGGTAAGAGGGAAACATCCAGCGCTGCCTTGGCGTCACCATGCACAGATGTACCAGGAGTATCCATGCACTAGTAAGTGTGATCGCCTCCTACATGCACATCGGACAGACGGACACAAAAACAGCCCGCATGTTTTCCTGGTGAGGTTCTTGGCGTCACCATGCACGGATGTACCAGGAGTATCCATGCACTAAGTGTGATCGCCTCCTACATGCATATCGGACAGACGGACACAAAAACAGCCTGCATGTTTTCCTGGTGAGGTTCTTGGCGTCACCATGCACGGATGTACCAGGAGTATCCATGCACTAAGTGTGATCGCCTCCTACATGCACATCGGACAGACAGACAGACAGACACAAAAACAGCCCGCATGTTTTCCTGGTGAGGTTCTTCTGAAAGAGAAGACATTGCACGAGGCAATGTATACATGGCACGAGACAATGGATAAGAATTATTTTTCTCAATTTCTGTAAAGTCAGCTGATCTTTGTATCAAGTATCGTTCATTTCAGTACTACCAGCAAGCACTTCATCTGCTGTTTAACAACCCGGGAGAATACCAAGATGTTACTCACATTAACGTCCATAAAAAGTCATTAATAATTCATGAAGAAATGAATGTTCAATCAATGTTTGTTAAATCGGAGAAAGATTTGTCCTCATTTACATAAACTTCTGAGCTTTGATTTTCTCGGCTTTGACAATGTTTATTCTTAAAATTACTTCGCCAATGAACTCGTATAAGATGGATAGTTTATTAAGTACGTACGCCAAAGAGAAAATGATGTCTGAAATTCAGTAAGTTTTGCTTATATTGTTTTATATTGCTGTATAAATATGGCGTATAATTTTAATATATAAATATCAATTTAATATGCTGCATCAATGATAATTGTATTTAAATTGACAATATTGAACTATTATTTTGTGTTTCTCAACCGCTAGATACATTTGAAAAAGTTACTAACTGTGCATGTAAACAACAAAATAAAGTTAAAACGCAAAGTGATTTTGAGAGGAACGCCAAAAAGATTTTAGGTTTTGAACACTTTTCATCGCAAATACGCGACATTGAAAAAAATATTGTCTCTTAAAAATATTAAAGAAAGTATTTTGTGCTGTTGTAAACTGGAAGCATCATATTCTTGCATATGGAGTAAGCAAAAGCGCTCTAGTGCCACTGAAATTGAAAGTTTTCGCGCGCGAATGAAATCACATTATGGAGATGAGCTGGTTGCATAGTAACGGAAAAACAAATTTATCTTGCGCGACGCGTAAAATGCGAATCAGAAAGAAGTGAAATTGTTAACGTTATTTATAATAAAATAGTTTCAGGTTAAAGAGTAATTTGTATACCTTCTTTATTATGTTCACCCTTCGAGAAAGTTTTTAGTTCTTACACACGAGCTTTAGTTTCCTCCAAATTTTTCTTTGCGATTTCTATTAAACCATCAAAAGTTGCTTGCTTGCCATAAATTTCGAATTTTACTAATTCCGTAGCAACTCTTTTTCAGTCTCTTCACATTGGAAAGCCTCGTCATATTCCGCTTGATCCTGCATAATTTGTTTTATCAGAAAAGATGTTTGGAAAGTTTCCGCGAGAGATATGAAAGTGCGCAGTTTCAGTCAATCAATTATGACAAACTACATTATGACGTCAGAGCGTTTTTATAGCTTGCGTCAGAACAAAGGATCGTGGGTAATTAATTCGTACGCTGTCTGTGACATCATTTATTGAAAAAAGAATAAAAACTGCCGTAAATTTTAAACTTAAATTAAATGTAGTATTCATGAAAATATGACGATTTAACTTCTTTGACAAGGTTGTTTAACGATTCGTGACGATACGACAGTATTGGACATATACGGATGAGACCTTATTCATAAATCGTGACGAGGCCTCGTATCCTAGGATACGGGCACAAAACGCGGGAAAACAAGCGAAAACTGCTTGACAAGCCAAATTCAGATGCTATTGTGTCGACTTTAACGGCTTGTTTCTTGTTGCTTTTTGCGATTTATAGCGAGTTTTGTGTCTATTTTAAGACTTTGTGCCCACGACGAAAGCTGTAAACGAGTATATTATAAAAGCGACCGGTTTTTCCCGTTTTTGTTTGGAATAAATGACAACCTAGCGATGGTGTTTATCCAGAAGCAAAAAACAGTATTTTACTGAGATTTTAATGTCAATATAAAGGTTATTCCGTGAAAAATCAAGACAACTATGGAATGAAAGTATAATTTTTCGAATTTGACATTAATATGAAAGAAAACAACAGGTCAAAAATCACAAGAGAACGTCAAATGTTATTGGTTCGTACGGAAAAATATGAACTATGGCTGTGGCTCGATAACATTCTGCAAGCAGCTTACAAGTTTAAAAAATGAAGGCTACATTACCTGAGTGAGTTGTAATCCTGTTTCTTCAAGAATGTAGTTTCATATTTCTTACAATTTTAGTGTTGTATAGACGTTTTGTAGCCTTGTTGGTTGTTTGTTTTTGCGATACAAACTTGGCAATAATACAAAGTCAAAGGTTTCCTTTTTCGATTGACTCCAGCATCTTTTGCTTTAAATATCATGTTATATTTTCTCAGAAGTATCTTTTTCAACTTTCAAGCTCAGTTTTATAGATATTATTTTCGAAAAAAGCCGTAATATTCACGAAAAAAAGCTGCCATAGCCGACAGCAAAAAACATTTTGTCAATTTTCCCGCGTTTTTCCCCCGTTTCCTAGGATACGAGGCCTCATCACGATTTATGAATAAGGTCTATTGGCAATGGAAATTCAGTGGAGCGATCGTCAGGGCAAGCGCCTTTCACCTCGCGATGCTCGTTCCAGACTCATGCGAAAAGAGTCTGGGTTTTCTCCGGTTCAATTCCACTGTTGACAGAGTGGGCTGGGATTAGCTCGAACTGAGCCTTCCAGCGTAGCTGTGATCCGTGATCAGGCATGAGTCAGAGGCGCAGGGCAGGGAAAAAGAATTTTCTTCCTGGGAGCACAACCTGGAGACAAAAATTTCCTGCAGACCAACGGAGTATTTTTGTGCTAAATCTGCATGTGCATAAACATATAGTGTTCTAGCTGATCATTGTTTCAAATTCAAGGAATAATGTCTGTCAACCATATGTTGTTGCGCCCATAGTGGGACACGGTGGCGAAGGTTTCCTTCAAATTTTCAATAGCAAATCTTCATTCAAAGGAATTTCCTGCAGCTGTTTAACATTTATTGCGAGCAGTGCTCGCGTGCTCGCTTATTTTTTCCACCCCTGCAGAGGCGCCCTTACAAAGTGTTCGACTCGATCAGGTTAAGCTGCATCCTTCGTAATTCAGCTTAGCTCCCAGTTGCAAGTAAGGGAATTAGCACACCCTCGCGGACTTACTTAATAAAAACTAAAACTTACAAACCTGCATAAAGTGAGTGAGAAAAGGAACAATTTTCGAAAATGAAGGTCGTTTATCAGGTTCTTTGTCCCAGCATCTAGAAAAAGGTACAAAATTTTTCATCGGATTTTATTTGAGTATATGGAGTCTGCACCCACATTGCAAGAACTATCAACGGCTTATTGACCGAGCGTGAGGTCTGTACTGTGAAATATTAGACCGAGGTTTGTTAGTATGGACCAAGCAACGAAGGAGCGAGATCCATGCAAAAAACAGAGGTCTGATATTTCACAGTACAGACCGAAAAAGCGAGGTCAATAATCGGTTTATTATTATAGCATATGCTTTTCGCGCGTGTTACATCGGCTATCGTCAGTTTCACTGGGTAACAATATACGGTAGGCATGCATGCTCAATCAAAAACAGTTTGGTTGTTTGAAATTTTTATCTGTAAATTTTAATGACACACAACTGGAAAATTAAAAAGCAAAAAATGTTTCTGTTTGCAAACCAAAAATTTCCCGCCAGATAAACGACATCCGGGACACCGGTCCAGATACGGAAAATACGGACCACGGTCCGGGTAGGTTTTTACGGACCGCTTGTTGATTTCAACTGGGACTTTAAGTTGGGCATGATCTACATTTTCATGCTATCATGCTAGTATCTTAATTGTGCTTTTTGCGAGCAATAGAGTGCTTCCAACTACCACATTTTCATATCGATCGAAGGTTCGTATACCTTCATAATTTGAAAAATCCAGGACTTTCAAGAACTTTCTAAGTCGACAAGTTTTTCAATATAAATAATGTATAATATCACTAATAACAGAACGATATTATACACAAGTTTAGTTTCCAGGCTTTTTCAGGGCTCGCTTTAAAATTCCATGACTTTTCAAGGAGTTTCCAGGACTGAAGACAAATTCCAGGGTTTTCCAGGGCTTCCAAGGGGCGTACTAACCTTGTCGATACAAAAATCAACACATGCTATAGGTGTGAACGTCACCCACATTCACTCATATCATGCAAGATAAACCACTCTTAAAATAAATATTGAAATAATTTATATAACGTACCGAGTCATAAGTGTTTCTAGTGGCTTCGGCATCCCTTGAATTGGAGAAGGCCTTGTGCCTATAGTGAAAGAATATCTAGTTAGAAGATTTATGGTCGGTAGTGGCAGATGTACATCATATTGTACCCATCACTTTTAAGAATAGAAATGTTGCTGCCCTTTTTCTGGGATGAAAAGTTCTGTTCTCGTTTTCTGAATGGAAAGTGTCCGGCATTGTGAGAAGAAATGAGTCCTTTCTTTAAATAACAACGTGACATCGGTGTAGCCATTTGAAACGTTTCAATCCGAGAAGAAACTTGTTGCTTGCAGTTGTGTTTGCTTTGCTACATGCAAATGATATGCAGTAACACAATCACAATAGGTACTTCTGGCCTTTAAATTCTTCTAAATGCTGGACTAGTTATGATAGAATTGATATCCATTTTCCCCTCCAAACTACAACATGTGTTATTCCTTACATTTATCCCAGCCTGACCTATCAATAGGGAGGCTTACACCATTACAGATTCTATCTATTGACGCACGGCATTTCGTCACTTGAGCGTGCAGTTTTACACGTGTTCTTTTGACCGCGCTAAGAATCACGTTTTCAGAAGATGAAGATCTCATTTCAAAATTACTCTAAGGGAAGCATCATGAAATTGGGGGCAGACCTAGTCTAGCACCTTTAATTGGACGGGTAGATTGCCAACCCTAAAGTCAAACTGAGTTAAAGTATAGGGGTTATATGATTAGGGGCAGGCCATGCTGCAGGAGATGGGATGCTTTCCGCAGGATTGCTATCTTGGGATGCTTTCGATTGTCTGCAGAACAAATGCTACGGCGACATCTATTCGGTTTTGAAAGAACTTACCGTGATAAACTGCCCACATTACTCTCAAAGCAGGACCACCTATAGCATCATAAGGCTTACGTCGCGACACCATCTGCCATATTATCACTCCAAAACTGGAAAATGTATTAACACAATATTATCTGCCATATTATCTGCCATATTATCACTCCAAAACTGGAAAATGTATATTAAACCAATATTACCAAGGTTACCATATAATTAATGCTTCAAGTCCCAGGGTAACATGAGGAAATATGCCCTCCCCCGCTGAACAAATATCGAAAATTTAGCCTACATATTCGAAAATTTAGCCCCCTCACTTATATATATGTAGCAATATATACATTTTTTAGATATTTTTGAAATGTAGAAACAGATAACAAATGTAACGTTATAGAACTATCCATTTCGACATCAGCTTTTAAACGAATTTTTCTGATATTGGTAGAAACAGAGTAAGACCAGGGACGCCGGAACGATGTGAAGGCAAGGGGGGCAGATTTTCGTGAAAGGGCACTTTTAAATTGATATATACTAAGAGATGTTTGCAAAACATCGGGAGTTGAATTTCGCCTAATCCGTTTTCTATTTATTGGATGATAGGGGTGTGAAGGAGTCTCCGCCAGGCGATTGTGCTATTCTTGAAGCTCGGTGGCTGCATTTCTTGCGTTTTCTGAAGCAAATTCGTAAAAGAATTCCACTAACATTTCTGACAATTCGCTATTTCGCCAAGGCAATTCTGTAAATTGAAAGGGCACCTTTGCCCCTCTTGCCCCTCCTGGTAAAGGGCAACGGGGGCGGCTGCCCCTCCTGCCCCCCAGTTCCGGCGTCCCTGAGTAAGACTTAAAGGAAATAGGAATACTACACGAACGTATAAGAACGAAAAAATTTCATTCGCATTTGCCTTTAAATATACAGTATAATGGTAAAAAACCAACAATGTATAGTTTAGCGATGACAGCCTCGCAGTTGTAATGCCCTCACAGAAAATTACCGCGAGTGTATTTGTCATTTTGAGTTCGGATCCAAACGTGTTCTCTCTCTGACCTATATTTTTCCATGCATTAATTGTGTAAGATTCCCAAAGCTATATAGTATACTTACCTATAAACATCGCACTTTTCTGCATATGTGCGACCTAAAAAATAGAAAAGACAATATATATAGGTAAATATTTTACATGTCATGACAAGACATTTTACATTATAGGTCTAGGGACAAAATATTTGCGATTAGAGCCTCGCATGTTACAGTATGTTCGGGCATCGAAGAACAAAAGAAGTAGGAATGAACTTATCGAATGAACCAAAATTGATAGGTCTGAAATAAATTTACTGCGCATGCAGATAACTTGGGAGCATTTTGACACTAATTTGTCGTTGGGAAACTACATCATTCAATACTAGTGCTGAGCACGTCAGCTCTATCTTCAAGATTTTTCCAGTTTAATGATCTCACAATTTCTGATGAATGAGTACTGTAGTCTCAGATCCAGTAATATAATATTAATAGTTCGAAAAATATAAAAGTGAGTGTGGAAACTTTTTCGTCAATCGTATAGCTGCTTTAGGTCATGGATAAAATAAATGGATAGGAAACTAGCTGACGTGACCTAATGTTTTCAATGGGCTGATGGCGTGGTTGGATGTTCAAACCTAGTTGCAAAGTTACCAAATTCTCAAAAACGGCATGTCTATAATACAGCTAAACATTTTAGTCAAAGAGCAAATAAATATAACCACGCCATTCTACGATGAAAAATCTAAGTATTCCCAGTCAATTTTAGCAAATATTTCAAGCACTAAACAGTGAAAAATACATCGCAAATTTCGTTAAAATTTGTGACGCCAATTTCGTAGCTACAAATGTAAAAAAATACAAAACAAAGACGAAAAACATTTACCTTGAATACTTTGTCGTGGCTTAGGCATGTTTTTAAAACAATTAGACCAGTTTATGCTTCAATATCACCCTTTTAAAGTGGAAAATATAGCAAAACAACAAAATGCCGAGAACTTTGGTAATATTCGCAATACACGTGACGTCACGTTTTCCAACAAGGATGAAGTCAATGACGTCAGGAAGTTTCCTATCCAGTTATTTTACAATCCATGTTTAGGTCAGGGTCAAACGTCAAACTTTTCATGCGCCGAACCTAATGTTAATGAGCTAAATTCTTTGTATCACTTCATTTGCATTAGGTTCGGCACATGAAAAGTTCGACGTTTGACCCTGGCCTTACGTTCTAAGCGATCACTTTCCCACATAAAATCCTTAATTTCGCCAAGGAGCACTGCTTAATTGGGGCATGGTTATTATGTATAGTAGTCTCCTTCGCAAACGTTCTTATTGCTCCAACCCTAGCAAACGAACGTCTGTTGAACTGAGCTGCACGTTCTCTCGAATCGCCAATCACAGCGACCTTCTGAATTTCGGGAAGTGAAAGTTACCGAGTAATTGCACGAATTACTAACAAAGGAAGGCTTCTGATTGGGTTAGGGTACTAACAAAAGAAGGCTTCTGATTGTTCTATGAATCACTGCAATATGATTGGCGCCTGAAACAAAGAGAATGGAATGTGTAGCTCAGTTCAGCAGATGTTCGTTAGCGAGAGTTGGAGCAATAAGAACGTCTGCGAAGGAGACTAGCTTATATAGCAACTTGCAAAAACGTCTTTTCCAGGCTTCAAAGCCTTAATGGTGATCCCAAAAGATCTACTGCATGCCATATATTTAAAGCCACGTGCTCACAAATCAGCCAATCACATTTTGACTTAGAAACATTTTACAAAGCCCATAATACTCTACGTCCATATTAGGAAATAACAAAGTATACCTTCAAATACTTCAGGCGCCATCCATGCTGCACTTCCCTTGTTGTTCGTCATGTAGGTTTGCATATCGCATGCCGTGCCAAAGTCGCCAATTTTTAACTGAGTGTGCGTGCTATCCAATAGCAAACTTTAAAAAGAAAAACAATACTATATTACGATACTGTTGTACAACTAAGAGACGTTGTGTTTGACTTTACGGGGAGGGGGAAGTGGAGTATAGGTTTTTTGCAGGTGCTTCTGTTGGGGTCAACAGCCTTGCAGCGAATTGTCAACAAGTCGTTGACAACTTGTCAACAAGCTGCGAAAAAGCAGTGCGAACACATCCTAATACATGATTAAACAAGTAATTGTTGGGACAGCATCGGTACAGTCTTCTGCACGTTAGTTACAAGCTGTGTGTTTTTGCGTGCGTACCAAGTTTCAAAGATCATGTTTTCTTGTATCTCATTGGAAGAGAGCATAGTGAAAGTCGCAGTGCGATAAACTTTCGTGTTACAAAGAACGCTAGAACGAGGGTTCAGTTTTCGTACAAAACTCCCATGTACGAATTTTGTGTTGTCAATTATGTGAGCACGAGCATGCAATTTCTTCCCCACAACCTGGAATCAGTACAGGATCATATTATACCTAAATTATTATAACTTCGCCATATTCCCATCTTGACTCTACCAAGCACTCCTGGTTTCCCTGGTGTAGTAAGCTGGATTCAATAAGGGATGGCTCGAAACTTGGACTATAGAGCGTTTGCACATGACGTCACAGCCGCCATGTTGGTGTTCCAATTCAAAAGAATTTTAATTAGACTCTTTTGTCTGGAACACCAGCATGGCCGCCATGGCTTTTGTTGAGTTGGTCCCTGGGGAATGAGTGCAACTGCTCTATGGCGAGACCAATTTACTACAGTTAGAACTGTTCGTCCAGGATATAGCTCAGTCGGTAGAGCATTTATCTGCAAATCGAGCCAACTCAGGGTATGAGTAGCATGGTTTCAGGTAAACTGGACTATGCGTTACTGGGAACTGACAACAGGTGTGGTGCTCCGCTTCAGCAGAAACGTCTCCCTGGTCCAGCGCAAGTGAAAAGGGAAAAGACTCCTACGCTGCCCTCTTCGTACTTACTACATTACTTAAAACTGTCTAGTTTAGTTTTAGTTTATTGTTCTTACTTGGGAGGTTTCAGATCTCGATGAATGATGGGTTTTGGTTTTGTCCCATGTAGATATTCCACGCCCATGGCACACTGCAGTGCCCAGCTTATAGCGTGAGCAGCTGTGTACTCAGGACACGCTTTACAATTCTCCCAGCCATGTAGCACTGGAAAAGAAACCACAATAAAAAGGAAATTACGAATAAAGTTTGTATAATCATCACAAAGCCAAGAATTATACAGTTCAACACTGATGGGTTGTACTCATAGAAATAATAGATATAGAATGCGTACTCCTATCTTTTCTCAGTGAAAAATTTGTCTGCACAAAATGGCGGATTTATAAGGGCATTTTGGTTCCCAGACTCCCAGGCGGCAGGGAATTTCAGTGGGAATTTCGCGCGGTTGCAGAGAGTGCAAATTGTTTTTTCAAATGCAAAGTTTGCAAAAATTTTATATCGAGACTTAAAATGGAAAAAAAAGTGCAAAAAGTGTCTAAAAACCCATTCTAGTGGGCTTTTTTACGAAAAGCAACAGTTCTGAACAGAATATATACAGAAATCATCGTTTAAAAATAAATTTTCAACGTTGTTGTGCAAGGCAAAACAAAACCCGAAAGATCAAGACAAACTCAAACTCAATAGGTATGTTCTATAAATATTTCAACGTTTTTATAATATAATATAATATAATATAAATGAAGTTCAGTAATCTTTTTAAACTTACACAATTACTTTTCACATTTTTCTGTGTTGCTTGAGCTTGAGGCAACGCTTTTGAAACCATAGTTTTCGACGATTATTTAGACAATTTACAGTCTATCGACAACTAAATATTTTTGTTTCAAAAAAATAAAAAACCTTCGTTTACATCAAAGAAAAACGAAACCCGACGAAGAAAGAACTATTATTTTGTAATCTTTTAAGATATTAGCAAAACAGTGACAGTAGTGACGTTCAAAGCATGCAAAAATGTTTTATGAGTAAATTTCGAGAAACCGGCGAAAATACTTTGTTTACAAGGCTGCACGATTTTCACCGTTTTTGTAACTGCACATTTGCTTTGACAGTTTGTGCCTTCAAAAAATCTCAAAATCCATCCCCAAACTACAAATTAGACAACAAGATAAACGTTTTGACGATGAAAACGTAGTTTTAGCTTTGTTTATACTTTGTAGTTTGCACTCCTAGTCAAATTCAAACATGGCGGATTTATAAGGGCACGCATGAGAAAAGGTGGAGACATGATTCGTGATCAAGTACGCATTCTATATCTATTATTTCTATGGTTGTACTTCACGATTTTGCGTCAATTTCCATATATTAACAATCTCAATTTAACTTTCTCATCCCAATCGTAACATTAATCCCAACTATAACCATAATCCGTACACTAAAGTCTCATACACACGGGCAATTTTTCCTTGACAAGTTTTAGTTTGTATTTTCTTGCCAAGGAACCTTGTTCAAAAGCTAGTCATGCCAGCTTTTGGACAAGGAAAATGTTCGTGCGCGGGCAGCCGCCAAGGAAAAGTTGACAAGTGTACAAGAAATGGTTTGGTCTAACAAACGACGGCCTTGACATGAGGTGTTTAACAACATTCCTTACACACGAGCAACAAAACTTGTCAAGGAACTTGTCAAGGAAAACTTGCATGTCGACCGTCCACACGAGAAGGTAAAGTTGTCAAGAAAACTTGTCAAGGAAAACTTTCTCGTCCGTATGGGGCTTAATGCTAATCATTTATATATCAAATTCTCATCGTCACATAATTACAGTTATGTTTGTTTTAATTTTCGAATTTAATGGGGCAAAGTTGCTCCATTATAGGTAACCGCTCGGAGTGCTCCGGATTTTCGGAAAGCAAATGAAATGATGCAAAACATGGTCACATGATTGTTCTCAACTGTTCTGACTACCTGCAACTTTTGACTTGATTGCTGTTTTGTATTGATTTTATTAGTACAGCCAACCCGAATAGAACACATAAAGTGACGTTAAATGACTTTGTCTGTTTCTAAACGGTTCCACAACGTATGTCGTGTTTTAACAATGGAGGCACACAATACAGAATTGTTACTTATAGAGCTAACCGCGCCGTATTCACATATATACGTATAATTTTATAATATTGCAGTATTTCTACTGTGGATGGTAATGATTAGCCAAAAGGCACCGAATTAAAACAGTACAGTACTTTAAAATATCATTAATAATTTATAAGGAAATTCAAAAGAAATTAATGTTTAACCAATATCTCTACATCGGATACAGATTTCGTTTACATAACCTTTACTCTTCAGTTCGATTTTCTCGGTTAATTTAACAATATCATAAAATAGTTGGTAAGGAAATTTCATTACTTGATACATTTGTATTGTTTGTGGTATTCTGGTAAAATCCCGAAATTTTGGTTTTCATAACGTAAATTGATTAAGAAAAATGAAAATATTTTAGCTGTTCAAATATTTAATGCATGTACAAAATCTTCTTCAGACTCAAAATATTATATTGAAATTTGTCCATGTTAAATTTTAAGCAGATACCTGAATCTATTCCATCTAAATAACTGAGAAGAATTAATATTCTTAACTTTCAAACGAGATCATATCCATTTAAGAAATATGCTGGAATTCGGTGCCATTTACGAATATTATATAAAGGTCTATGAACAAACAACTTACAATTATATAATGATCCGCCTTCAGCAAACTCCATAATAAGACAAATCTTTAAAAACAAATTGTTAAAGAATTATATTTAAGCATCAAGCATGTTACTGCATGTAAGCAGTCTGTGATAATGTGATCCAAAGCAATGCTATATATTCTGCGTAAACTGTACGTAACCATGCAACACCTCCAAAGGTCGTTTTCGATTACAGATGTCCATGGGAGACTATAGCGACTGCGATGACAGTCTTTGGCAACAGCCTGTTTTTGATGTTTGGACATGCTTATAAGTTTAAAGTATATATATCAATTTATTGCTTACGATATTTCAACACGGTGCATGCGAATTTTGAAAATGTTGTGAGGTGCATATGACTTTGCTTACTGCAACATGGCGTCAATGTTTTCAATTTTACTGAGATTTACAACTGCTTATTTACAGTTCAAGTAAATTAAAACGAAATCAATGTTTAATGAGGTGTTGTATCAACATATACAAAATTCTCCAGATTTAATTGCATAAACTTTTTCCTCGATTTTCTCATTTAATTAAAATCACTTCTTTTTGAATAATTACTTAAAACGCAACTGTTGAAATCCTTACAGTACATTTCACAAGCCATTTACAACATTTGCCGCTGTGCATGTTGTATCGCATATTGCATAACTCTCGCGTTTGTACATGTATATATACAATACAACACAAGTAAATTGTACTTACAGGATTATGTACTACTCCATACAACTTGATGATATTCTGATGCTTTACCCTTGACATCTGCTGTGCCTAAATAACAAACATGACATAGGAAATTACAAATACCTCACTTGTTTTCATATTTGCCCAATACTCATTTTCGTTCAGCTTCAAATCTGCACGATCGGGAGTTACACTTTCGCTCACCAAAAAATTAAACATTTTTGCGCAGCTTTAATTTGCTCATCGTCAAACGGGGAAAAATAGAAATTCACATGGTATTGATGGCTTTCCCTTTTCAAAATGACATTGGATGCTTACAATTTTCAAGAAAGTGCTTGCTAAAATTTGCAACCAATTGCATGGCACTAAAGGCCCATTTCCACTCAGGAAAATTTTCCACAGACAGAACATTTTCCGAAAATATCATTGTTACTGTCGTTCCAATTGAAGTGTTCCTCAAATATTGATTCAATACATTACCTCGGGCTGACCAATTCATTTGATCAAGTTCCTCGAAATATTCATACACTTCCTAGTATAATTGTAAACTTCCTGTTGAATAGTTTGAATGCACCAATCACCTTTGTTGTTTGTGCAACTAACCAATCATAAATAGAAAGGAAGTGACCAGAAATTATCAAATACTTGGAATTGCCTCTTTCACAGGAAATGTATGAATATCTCGAGGAACTTGATGAAATGAATTGGTCAGCCTGAGGTAATGTATTGAATCAATATTTGAGGAACACTTCAATTGGAACGACAGTATGAGTTGAAAATTTTCAAAACTTTTTTCCGACGGAAAATTTGTGTCGGCCAATCACAAACTAACCTCAATTGTGAATGCGTTCTGTTCGTTCTCCGCCTCCAGTGTCTTCGCTGCAACAATATTCCCACGCCATTTGGCTTTATGAACAACACCAAAAGCACCACGGCCAACAATCTATAAATTTTAGTAATTTGGAATAATTGTAGCTGATAGTTTGTATAGGTATATAATAGTAACACCGCGGAAAAACGTCTGCGCATGCACCAAATTATGAAAATATGGCGGGGAATTTGAATATCAATTTCTAAAACAAAAACATGCGTATTAATTGGTCAAAAATTAGTAAAACAAACGAGAAAATATAGCAAATGGGTAGACTAGATATTAATTGAAAGCGTCCTGGCATTTAAAGTATGGAATGAAATATAATTCATGTAAAAAATTGTTGATTTTAACGGACACGACTTCGAAAATATTTGCAAAATTATTCAAAACAAAAATTCAAACTCAAAAGTTAAGAACACTCTCGAAAAGTTAAGCTTCTTAACCCACTCAAATTGTAGAATAAATCCTAAAGTTTAATTATTGTGAACACGAAATTTTTTTATATTTGGCGACACAGTTTTTTTTAAAGAAATGTATCTCAAACGAAAATTCGGAAATTGTCGTTGCTTAGTTGATAAACAAAATGTTTCAGACGATAAATTTGTCAACAATCACCTTTAGTTCATGTTCTAGTACAATACAATTTCTTGAACCTTCTGGCTGTATTTATTCCTAGTTTTTAGAATGACATGGTTATTTTTGCGCTTGAAATCTGGCTGTAAAGACGCACAATGAAGTCACTCCTTTTTGCCGCCATTTTGAGCCTTCGGAAACGTTCGGAACAGCTTCTCATCAAGTTCGCAATACTATTACAGGTAAGGTTGACGCATGCGCAGACGTTTTTCCGCGGTGTTTATAATAGTATGGTTTTGTGTGCAATTTGAAAAAAAAAAACATGCACGAGTGCGTTTTTCAAAGACTATCAAAACTGCACGAGTCCGAAGGACGAGTGCAATTTGAAGTCTTTGAAAAACTCACGAGTGTACATTGGGAGTGTATGTTTTTCAAATTGCACAAGAAACCATACTATAACTTATTAATAAGTCCAGTCACGTGCGTAAGTCACATGGAAACAGTGCTCTCACTTTTAAGGAATTATCCTTAAAAATAGGAATTTTGAAGAGTTTTAAGGATTTTTTTAAGGAATTTAGGTTTTTGAGGATTTTTTTAAGGAATTTCCGAAAGATTTTATCCTGGACTAAAAACGTTGGACGGAGGATAACCACGCCACGCAAATGAGATTTAAACTTGAAAGTAGCAACATTATACGCACATAATTACATTTAGTATAATTACATAGGTGATTATTGAAAATTCTCCACGCTGATTGGTTGCCGTTGAGGTGATTATTACGCGATAATCACCTGAGCGATTTTCAAAATGGCGGCCGAAGCCTTTTTGTCAATTTAATAAATGACAAAGAAATGTGTATTTTCTTATTTTTTTCCAAATAATCACCTATGAAATTATACTAAAACAATTATTCACCTCAGGCTCGGTGATTATCGTGAAAAACCTCGACTTCGTCTCGGTTTTTATTCACCGATAATCACCTCGCCATAATTGTTAAATATTCGTATGTTCTCTATGTCATAAATGTTCGGGCCATATTCCAGTACCAATTTGGTTCCAGTACCAATTTGGTTCCAGTACCAAATAACACAAATCACACTCATATAACGTAATTGTCATCATAATATAATAGTATATGTTTCTGTACATGGCTTGGCATGTGATTTATAACTAAAACTTAAAACAGTGTTTTGAAACCCTAGTTTTTTACAAAATGTGTTCTCAGAACGCTGCAAATGCCATTTCCGGGATTCAAATTTTAAAATTTTTCCGTCCCTCCCCCAATATTTTGTAAAGTGCGGACCACTGGTCTTTTCATTAAAATTCTCAAAAATTAAATGTCAGTATATGCTGTTTCTTCTGAAATCTACAGATATTGTAAGCTCTTCATGCAACAACGATCAAAAATACATCATGTTGAATGTTTTCTTTATGGCATTACGCTAACAATCAAATGTTTTCAATTTTTAGTGCTTAGAAACAAGGTTATAAAAACTGAAAAACAGAAAAAAGGAGGGAAAAAACACTTTTTGCAACTGTGTGATCAGGCCTTCTGGTAATTTTACCAATTTAAGGAATTTTAAGGAAATCTGAGGAATTTTCGAGCTTTTTCTAAGGAATTCGAAAATTTGATTGTGAGAGCACTGCATGGAAATAATTTATGTTTTTGTTTTTGTTTTTTGTATTATTTCTGCTGGAAATTGCTGTATTTTATTGGCTATCTTTGTTATTGTTTCATATTTTACAAGCCAATCAGAAAGCCTAAATAGTCAATGAAATTTGCACTGTGTTTCTTTTTTTGCACTGTATTTCATTTTTCGGCACTATATTTCGAAAAAATTGCACTGCTCTTAGCCAATCAGAATTGAGAAATATTTTCATGTATATTATTAATATTGATAGTAGGGGGGTTTTTTTTAGGGTTTTGTACATGGAAATTTTGAGTGTAAACTTAGCTTTCTACATTTATTAGACCTAACCAGTTGCAGTTGCAAAAAAACAACAATATAGGCCCGCTGGCAGGAATCAAACCTGCGGTCCTGTGATTCCAGTGCTGCGCTTTAACTAACTGAGCTACAGAGGCCAGTTGTCAAACTCTAACCACGAGTTCATGTATATATACTAAAAGGTGATGCCAATGTAAGGTGTGCGGGCAAGTATCAGGATGTTGGGCAAATCACCAAAATCCTGTTTGTTTTAATTACCATGGCCACCATTGGTACACTTGTTGTAGTCTGTCAGTTCGTCGGTCTTTCAATGAAACATTTTAATCGTGGTTTCCTGAACAAACACGATCAAAGCGCTTTGCACATGTCGATCATGCAGTATAAAACACCACAAAAACTGCCATCAACAATTACAACAACATTGTTTACGTTGTTCGCAAATTTTGTCTGTATGATTGATTAGAAAAGTGGTCTTTAAAATGTGTCTGTAATCAAACGCAAAGGGCAGAACAACCCCTAAAAGTATATTAGTCATGTTATGACTCTGTGCACACTGATTTTCTATACATTAAAAACACTCTCAGACTGGTTAACATTCCCTGGTTAACCCACAAATAACACTGTCAACTCTTTCATAGGTTTTCCTTGTTCCATAATTTACATCATTGTATTTAGTAACATTAATTATGACATTGTAAGCTAATTGCTGATTGGCTATTGTAAGGTTGATGCTGATTGGCTCCAAGCTAACACATAAAATAATGTAAGTGCACAGTGGCATTATATCTGCATTTTGCAAATACAGAAGTATACTGTGTGACTTACGTATTCAGGATGTACGTATTGGTTAAAAAACATTTTTTAAATGTGTGATGACTTTAACAGGGTTAATACTTGACAATATAGTTTGCTTTTGTCATATATGACAACCACTTAGCCAAGTCAAACTTCTTTTAAGACAGCATGTAGAATGTAAAAATAAAGCTTTAGTGGAAACAACAAATTGCACATCCCATATGAAGAACTCTACTTGGAATTCCAATTGGAATATACACCCTTCCGAAAGGTACATCACTTAATTTGGCTATATACAGAGCCTCATTTTCATGTACGCAACAGCAGTTAAAGCATAATGTGTCAATCATGAAAAAACAAGGCTCTTAATGGCCAAGATGAAGTACTGTAGATGTGCCAAGCAACAGTAAAGAGAGATGCATATACTTTACAACCCCAAGCAAATATTAAGTATTAAGTCAATTGTTCAAACACTGACAGCAAGTGCTAAATCATTAACCACTGCATTACTGTTAACAAGCAGTCCCAATGAAATTATCTGAATTTAACATATTTTGTGGTACAATTGCCCGAATTGTCTACATTTTTCCTGATATTTGCCCAAATTTTCATGGTCTTCTAATTTATTTTTTTGGTGGTGGGGGGGGGGGGGCAATTGTAGGGGATTTTTGTATAATTTTTTTCTATCCCAAGGGTGAAGAATTTTAATGTTTTTCACCCACTGATAAATCACTGAGTTAGTTGAAGTAACAAGGTTTTTCATTGACCAATCTGCTGCACATGGTCAAAATTGGTATTCCAAAAATGTTTAAAAAAACCAAAAATGCTGTAATTCTGATCCATGCAGGGGCATTCAACATGAATTGACAGTTCCATATAACTCTTGAGTGGGGATTATTGACTAGTAACATTTTCCAAAATTTTACAGTAATTGCCCCAGGGTATGCCTGCATGTACTCCCCCTGTTGGGGAAAGAATTGATAAGTGCATCATTTTGCAAATGTTCTGTACAAATAATCCACTAGCAATAACAGCCATCTTCAAATTGCCATTTTAGAAAACATGTCAATCGATCGTAAAATTAGAAAACATGTCAATCGTAAAATATCAACGGCAATTTTTTGTCTATGATAATATCTCAATCAATTCCAAGCCTGGGCCAGTGAACTCAATTTATTTTCTTTACCTGGAACAATATTAATATAACACTCCTGAAGTCATTTGTCAGTTAAAAAGTGAAGCCTCGCATGAGCAGTGGCATACGTCAGCCCTCCACGCCATATAGTATGTCAGTTTCAGTCCCTTTTATATATGCCATCACCGCGCGGTCCATTGCATGCATGCCATATATAGTATGTCAGTTTCAGTCCCCTTATACGCTATCACCGTGTGGTCTATCACGAATCAGCACGTGTCAACACACTGGCGTTAGCGTGAAGTGGATTTGGCATCACGTTTCTCCCACATGTTATCGTTCCAAATAAAAGACATGGAGGTCACTGGCCTGCCCATCCCCCCCCCCCCCAACCCCCCGGGCATTTGACATTTAGAAGAAAAACGTTGCAAATGCCCCACTGTGGCCGTGGGGTAAAAATATTGATACAAAATCCCCACTGAAGAGACTTAAAATTGATGCAAATGCCCCACCCTTGAGACAAAATAACAGTTTTTTAGCAAACAATTATAATATGTAACATTTCTGAACCAGAAGATTGAATGCAGGCCCAGCGGGTCAACCCAATCTCAAACTCAACTTCACTGTATTTAATTATCACAATACAACTGTACATCTATTATTTAACATTTCCTTTCATTCAAATACTTCGTCCTTAATATATAAGAAAAAGTGAAGTTTCAAAAACTTAATATAACAATATTAAACGGGTGGTGAAATAAAGCAACATATATGTCAACAAGAAAGAAGTCTATAACCAAGATGATTAACATCTGGAAGGGTGTTTAATTAAGCCGATTAAAATGATAGACGAGCAGGTTTTATTTGCTAATTGCATGTGTGTACAAACAACAAATATGTCCAGTGGTGGATTTATGGAAGTGACCACCTGTTGTATGGTCAACAGGGGAGTGCAGAGAGGGTAAATGTTTGAGGTATTCAAAGTTTGTTATCAGTCTTAGACTAACTTAAGTTTTGGAATTCAAGGCAGTACCACATCACTAGTTCAAAATATTAGGTTTAAAATTTAGTAATTTTTAGTTTGATACTTTGATTAAGTATTTGATATGAAATAAAAATTACAAAAGCAATCAAATATTCAAATGTGAAAAATTTCCATTTTGTCTTTCACACAATCACAGCATATATCAAGAGAATCGGGGATTTATATTTTACATAATTAATTCATTATATTTATTCAACATATCTGTAAATTGTAAACAAGAAACTACTAAATGCACTTTCATGACAATATGCTGCTGGCCAGTGCTGTGTTCGGTGTGCTTGGCTGCCCGCCCAGCACTCCCCTAAAAAAACCTTGCTGGATCCACCACTGAATTTTTTTGTCAATGACACATTTATGGGGGTTTTTAGCGCCATGATAACTTATTTTTATTTTAGGCATAATTGCAACAATAGATCGCTAACCATTCACATGAAAATGCTCAAATTACTTTCATTGTAACACCATTGCCATGTACCAAAATACGGTTAAATGGCTTCTGAAGCAAGCGACAAACATTCAGCTTTTAGCCTCAAACAAATTCCCCACCTCAGGGAGGACCTGCAGAAAGAGGCCGGGCATGCATGGAATTGATTGAGACATAACTATTTAATATGAATAACTTATAGGACAGTAGTATTAATAATTTTACAACAATTTTACCACATCAAAATGGGGGAGAGGGTGATATATAATGGTTTAATAAAAAATCTCTTGTGCAGTTGTGAGTTGTACTGCACAAAAATGACGTTTGGAGGGAATATGATTAAGGAGTAAACGTAATACTGTATTTAAACATTACATACAAGCTCAATGTTTATTTTATATAGTATTACTGTATAAAGTAGTTTTATATATATTAAATTTTAATATGTTCTAACCTCAATTTGCTGCACTTCCTTTCGCGGAATTTCCTCAACAAACGTCAAACAATCAGTTTCGACATCAGCCCCAGCAAACAGAGAAGCACTAGTACAAGAAGCTTCCATAGTTTTAAAAACAATAAAACATTCTATCGTATGCCTTCGATTGAAATCATCATTTCACTGCTCACATCGGTCTGTTTTCTACTTTTCTGTGATGTCTCATGTCTGCGTACACTTCCGAGTTCCGACTCTTTCCGAATGTTTGCCGAGGAAAAAATAAACGTCACTACGTACACTATGCTAATTTATACATATTCGTGCGCGAAAGATAACGATATGACCGAACTTTTGAAGTATTATTTGTTCTTCAAACACTCATTAATAATTCATAAGCTTATTGACAAATCGTGTCAACCATAATATGTCACGTGCAGTGGCTTAAAACCTGATAAAACACTCCTAATTAGTATTCTTTATATAAAAAATCTATTGTAGTCGTGTCCTCATTAGTATTCGTTATATAAAGAATACTAATAAGTCTAATAAGGCAGCATATCTAGTGAATTTGTAGTCGTGTTTGAAGCCGTTTAATAAACTCGCAGGTCGTGTTTTATTAGGTCTAAAGCCACTCGCGCAGCGCGTTCGTGACTTTAAACCTAATAAAACACTCCTGCTCGTTTATTAAACAGTACTTAATTTTTCAGGTAGTTTCATTATACATGCATACATCCAAGAGAAATTAAAGGTAGACATTCTGCAATAAGATTCACAAAGCAAATTTCAGTTACAAGAAATAGAAATATTTTCTTGTTATATTGTGACTTCCTCCTTCCTTGGTTTCCTTCTCTTCACTCCAGGAGAGTGGACTAACTTGATCTCCAAATCATCATTCGCTCCCTTTTGACCGTTTTGCTGCTTTCATTGTTTTCATAGTTTTATAATATATATTTATAAATATCTGTTACTACTTATTAGTTCTAGAAGGTAGATGCCTTGCGTGGGACTTCTATATAGTCACGTTTGCACCTTACCTTTTGGGCCAGTTGATATTGTACTAATTATTTTAATTTATTATAAAAAGTATAGTTCTTTATAGAGATTTCGAGCACTGATAAAAGTGAGATTATTTATGATAATTTCGCATGTGACTAATTATCGCTTTTTTGCAAAATTATCGCTTTTCAAAGACTGTCCTTTATATAATAAACAGAAAAATACATGGGTGCTTGGAAATGCTAGATTTGTTTCTCGTGTTTTCTGGTATTTCTCTATGTAATTTATGGCACCAATAAAGTTGTTAAATTAAAAAAATCTGAAATTAAATTAAAAATTAATACTTTCTTTAATCCGATCCACTACTGTGCGTAATCGTTCCCAAGGTATTCCCCATTCAGAGTTATGCTCCCTGCCCATCACAACAAAGAAAACACCTGTCATGTGTACACTGTTGGATTTCGTATTGCTAAATCCCCTATTACGCCAACTCCAATAATCCCTCATTCTAAGTAGCGCTCTCTCTAAGTGGCGATCCTTCACAACTGTTTACGATTAACAAAATTTTAATGAAGGACATACATGCTTCAGCCTTCAGTATATGGCCAGATGTTGCATGTTGTAAAGTGCTATTTTTTTACAATTATACCGGCAGGAAACCAATGTAAAAAGATTAGAGTTAAAACTTAAAACGGTGTCAAAAAAAACTTTCTTGTGGGGGTGGTTATGAGGTTTCGTTTGATTGAACGCTTGCATGTATGTGAACGGTAATTTTTTAGTATTAATTGGTAAACCAGCTGATTGACGTCATTACAATCATTATGGTCATTATGGTCATGCCTAGGTTCCAATCTTCTCATGTAAAAAATGCGCTTGATATGAAATAGAAGGTCCAAAGGCCCTAGGTCTAGGATGTAAGGTACATACATGGTCATATCAATAATTTGTTTGCTTTTTGTACGACAGCTATGTCTTTTCTTAACCATACAACCGGGGGCCAAAGCCACCCAGCCACTAGGCCCACTCAACCATTTTGACATCTACCCCCCCCCCCCAGGCGAAGTCCCTTTACTCTAAAATATACGCAAAATATCGGATGATAAATGGAATTTAGAAGAAAGATTGATTTCTTGTAACTGAAATTTGCTTTGTGAATCTTATGTCATCCCTAGGCGGCGGGGTGGAAAAATACAAACCATGATTCTCTGGGGGAGAATATGTCCCCAGACTCCTCTACTATTACACAGGACACCACACCAAACGTTTTGTTACCAACAACCATCTCGGTTATCTCTCTACACTCAGTATAGTATGGTCCCTTTTTGTAGATGTCCCCTCCCTCACTGACAAATTCTTAAAAAGCCCCGTTGTATAAAGTTGTGAATGCTCGCGTTGCCGCATGCATGGGTGGTCTAGCTAGATGTTAGAACTACAAATTGCAAAAGAAAAGTGCAGAATTTTAGATGCATTTCCGAGCTTTCGAGAACAAGCTCCGGAATCCTGCAAGCAGATTTTGGCTCCCGTTCTATATTTTAGTACTGCAGGGGTAAGATTAATAACACACGCCTTCCGTCTTCCACTTTTACCGTTTTGGGTAACGACTAGAAAATATAGGAATCGATAAATCTGCACAATTACAAACCCCATTAAAGTGTGTTGGCCCAATAAATTATTGTATCTTTGGACCTAAATTTGTCAAGGGCCACGCTCATTTTGTTGGTAAAATTTCAATCCTTCAACCACTCCCACTCCCTTCAAAAGTTTCAAGCTACGCTACTGATAACCCGGTACTTTTTCTACATGTACAGGAACGAGTCAACCGAGTTACTTAAGTTGCTACTTGTATTGATTATAAGTTTCATTTAGAAAGGGAATACAACAGAATCGACCATCCCATCAATCCCATTGGCCGGTTTCGTCATATTCAGACACCCAATAAACGAAACCAGTGCTTATATAAATGCCATTATAAATTCATTGAAAATAGGTTCCAACGACCATGGGCGTACCGGAAGGAAAAATTTAGGGAGGCGGAAAGAAATTTGCCCGACTTTTCCGGATTTTGCCCGACAAGTACCGAAAAATTTTTTTCCGGAATTTATTTTGGCGCCCCCCCCACCCCCGTCGCCAAAAAAATTTCGGTCAGTGTACCATTTTAGGGGTCAAAAATTTTTTCCGGACATACCAAAATTTTTCGGAACTTAACAAAAATTTTCGAAACATCACAAAATTGACCACAAAATTAACAGAATTTCTCCCATTTATTTTTATAATATACCAAAATTGCCCGACTGTTCAGCGAATATTGCCCGGCTGCCCAACAAACTGGGGGGGGGCTGCCGGCCCCCCGCTCCCCCCGCCCGGTACGCCCATGCCAACGACACATGAAATTTCTGCAATTGAAATGAACTTTGGCCATCAAACATCGAATCCGGGCGTCACAAATTGGAATGATGGCAAGGATTTTAGAACGCGTACAATGATGTAGAAGACCAAGACGGAAGCGTAATCGATTGTTTGCAGAACCTTAAAGCAGCATCATGCTATGGGAGCTATTTTCAGTTTTCTCTGAAGAAAGAATCAACAAAACGACTAGTTAATAATGCTTCGTCCGTTCACACAGTGAACTATTGTGTAATTACGCAATCAGAAGCAAAGAGTTTGCATGGCTGCATTGCGATTTTGCTTTATACGAAGTATAGGCTGAGTAGGCTGAAGCCTTCAGGCTCGGGCTTTCAAGAAGCCCATGATTTTCAGATAATGCACTTTTTATTAGAATTATTATTATTTTTTGGCCTTAAGCTAAGCCCATGCATTTTCTACTAGGCGAATTTGTTCACGCAAACAGTAAAAAAGTAGGATTCTTTGTCATAGTGATGTAGCAGCTAATCCAAAAACTATAAGTTCCTTGACCTTCACCGAAACGTCCACATCATGCAATTAGCCTTTCTCACGAAGGCCAAACTGTCCGCCATTTTTGGGGTACTGTCTGCTCTCGTGAAAGATTCTAGACAACGTGAAAAGCGACTTTTAAAAGTTGTAACTGTAAATTTACCATTATAATACTCAAAAGTTGTATTTCGTGGTGCGGAGACTTTCAAACGTGGGAGAGGCAGTACCCAATAAAAAAGAGCTTGCGTAAAATATGCGTATTTTTGTTTGTTAATTGCGTATTCATTTTCCGGATAGCAAACACCTTCGTGGCTTCGTATGCCATGAAATATTCGGAATTTTTTTTCGTCATTCGGAAATTTTAGGCCTACACCCCCCAACCATACATGCTAGCTACGGCGCTGTAGTCTAGCTACACTCCTGGTGCAAGCAGTACTATATGCTTACTTCTCACCCAAATGACCCAGTTGCTTTAGTTGATAGAACAGGAGCAGGTTTTCTTTAACCGGCTGTAATTAATCCACCAAATATTAATGAAAACGCTAAAGTTCGGTTTCCATTTAATCATAACAGTCGTGAATATTGTTAAGGAATTAACTTCTAGATTGAGGGGCGCGATGTGGGCGCAGCAACTATATTAAGCTTGACTATAAGGAATATTTGTATATACGTTGCGGGTAAACATATATTCAGCACGTTTTAGAACCGTAAATGTGAAAAATAGGATGACAATGCACGACATATGCACCTTAAACATGGCAATGAAAGAACTTTCTGTGTTTAAAACATGACGTGTGAACTAAAGTAGTTTGTTCCTAGTTTTAAAAGTACAGTAAGTGTGAGTGCACAAATATTTCTGCAGTAGAATGTCCAGGAATGATTTCAGAATGTGTAAGAGTATTATACATTGTTAAAGAGTGTTCAGATTGGATTTGGGGATCACATGGAATGTATTTAGAAATAAATAGTTGGATTCATTGAATAAAGGGGGGATTAAAGAAAAACGAAATACAGTCCCAAAAAGTGTTTCCCAGGTTGTTGTCTGAACGAGAAAACTCAAAATTCGTTTAGTTTTAACCATGTTTTGGAGAAGAATTTCCAACAACTAAATGTATATCAAGTTGGCCGATGTAATAATTTCGATATACCTCTGCAATCTAGCTAAAGACTGATTTGCATATGGCACACAAAACAAAAGAAATATTCAGTCCACTTATAAGTTCAAATGAAAACCAAGTTGACCGTAAAAGGAAAATCCATTACGTTGACGACTTGACGTTTCTTAGAAGGGACTGACTTTGTACTGAAATGAGTATAACGACGGCCAATCTACGGCTCCGGACTTCA